TTTAAAGATAAACTAAACCCGATCGTGTGTGTTTCATGAAAATGTCTTTATATGGCTTATAACAATCACCTAGACAGTAGTATAAAAGATTTGAATCTTTTGTACTTTCTATAGGGTTTCAAATGAGTAAGTTTGATCATTGTCTGTATTTCCAACATGATGTTAATAATAACTGTGTTTTTATTATTCTATGTGGATGATATGTTCTTAGTTGATTCATCACCTAAGTGTATAAGCAAGATAAAAACAAAGTTGAATTACGAATTTGACATGAAAGATCTAGGTAAGGCTAAGAGAATCCTAGCTATGAAAATTGAAAGTGATATGTCAAATTCTGTATTGTTTTTGCATCAATTTTCTTGAAGTTTCAAAGGTGTTAAAAAGACTTTGCATGTATGATTGCTAACCTATTACGTTACCTTTAGCTAATCATTTTGTATTATATAAAGATTTGGCTCCATGTAATGAAAATGAAATAGAATACATGAATAAGATTCCATTTTCTAATGTGATTGAATCTATTATGTATTTGAAGGTTTGTACTAGACTAGATTTACCTTTTTCTGTTAGTACACATCTAATTCGGGACCCGAGCATTGGGATGCCATAAAGTGGATGTTAAGGTATTTGAAGGGGACTAGTGATGTAAGTCTTAAGTTTAGTGTTAGTAAATGAGTGAAACTGAATGGTTTTCTAGATGCGGACTATGCGGGGTACATGAACAAGAGGAAATTGACTCCCTCCTATGTGTTTACTTTGTGTAACTCTTGCGTTAATTGGAAATCACAATTACAACACATAGTTGCACTATCCATGACAGAATTAGAATATATTGCTACCATTGAAGCAATTAAAGAGGATTTGTGGCTTAGAGGTTTGCTTCATGGATTTTGTGTTTTAAATGATTATGTAGTAGTATATTCAGATAGTCAATCATCTATACATTTACACAAAAATCCTGTTTTCACAAACACACCAAGCACATTGATGTTAGATTACATTTCATTAGAGATATTGTATCAAAAGAGGTAATAAGACTTGAAAAAGTCCATATACAGTATAACTCCTCAAACATGGGCACTAAGGTGTTTTCGATGGTGAAGTTTAGAAGTTGCAAACATCTTCTAAATATCGGTAGAGGTAAATAATTTTCAATTTTATTTGTTTTCCTTTTGGAATTATTATTAATGGGTGATAATATTTTCTTTGTAGGTTCTTTGACACCAATATGGAGATTTGTTGGGCAAATTATTTTCAAAAAACCTCCCAAGCTATGATGTTAAATCGATATAATTTTATTAGTCGAATTGACCAATTGACTGAACTAAAATATCGACTGCCAAATAAAACGACCTGGTTCTGAAACTATTTGGGGCTATTGGAGCAATCTAATTAATTAGAGTTGCTCATGACCCGCTTCCCTACTTATTGGATGACTTGTTATTGTCAGCCCACTTATTGATTTTGGGCTTGGCCCATTACTATACCTAACACCTAGCTATATATACTTGAGCCCTATTGCTTTATGATGTATGTGAATTGTTTGCTTCCTCTTCTTTGGGATAAAACACGGCTGCTTCCCTGTTTATGTGATTCTGCCTCTGCCGTCTTTTGTTATCTCCTTCACTGCCTTTGTGGCTTATGTCTTGGCTACAAATAATACCTTCATTCGTGTCCTTTTATGGGTACATAAAGAGCAACCAAAGTTTGGGAATAATAGGAGGTTTTAGGTTGTGATTTGTTGTGGTCGATTTTTTTGGATTTATACTGAGCCTGGGAAAACACCATTGGTGATCAGTCTTCCGCTTTAAAAGTCTCAACCCAAGATATTCCATGACTATCTCAAACCTGGGATAAAGAAGGTAAATAAAGGCGTCATTTCTCTGAATATTTTTGCCAGCAACAAAAGTGTGCTGTTAATAAAACAAGGTAGGCTTCTTTCGAAGCACTTTCTAGATAACCATTTCAATATCAATAAAGAAACGAATTCATAGTCTTCGCTTCTTATCTTCGTACTCTTTTAGCCTCTCAGGTTGTAGGAAAATATTGGAAAGGTCACTATCCAGTGGTAGGCTGATGCAAGTCTAGAAATCATTCTTCGATCTAAGAAAGTTTTTACTTTAACATGGTGTGTCAAAGGTTGTGGGTATATGTGTGATAATTTCGCACTCTTGTGATGTTTAGTAAAATAATTTCGGCATTCATGTTAGATGGCATGTGAGGACTAAATTAAAAACATAGACATGTATGTGAAGTTGTGGGTTTATTCGACAAATTTGCACGCATCTGAGATGTTTGACCAAAAAAATTTCGGCACGTATGTGAGAGGACTCGTGAGGACTAAATTTAATTATATAGACATGTTTCGCCCCAAGAAATTAAACTGATTTTAACCACTTTTATTCCTATTAACCTATTGTTTTGATGATCCATCCAGTAACCTCACTGTTGGATTGGATGGTGATATTTAGCAGTTATGATGAATAACATTATTCTCCATTTAATGTCTAAAAGGAGAAACTCGTGTGATAGCCCAATTTTCGAGGCCTGATCATAGAGCTGGTTCACGATTGTAGAAATGATCGAGCACATGAGTTCGATTTGGGAGGTAGAATCCTAAAAATTCGGAGAAGAAAGCTACCATCCCCGCCACCACCAAATTCCAACATCCCAAGTCATTATTCTCGATGTGCATCAAAATCAGCACCGCTGCCGCCACTAAGTTATACCTAGGGCTCCGTTCGGGAGTGATTAAAAGTCAATTAAAATTGAAAATATGGCCGTTATTGGGTCCCACTCGTCTAATAAAAGTCAACAATAACGGCTATATTTTCAATTTTAATCCGATTTTAATCCCTTCCATACAAGGCCCTAATATTGCCGTTGTTGATGCACTGTGGCAAGTCCAGGATTTCGAGTGAGCACGAACGGTCGTTGACCGTTAACGACTGCAAAAATAACCAATGCAGTGAATTGAAATTACTTATATCGTAGTTCAAATTGTAAGTGTTGGTGTACGTTAACTACCAGTCTAATAATGGTTATCGAGTAACAATTTGAAGTTTGAAAAATGGGTCCAATTATTTATTTTCTTGGTTCGATTGGCTAATAATTTCAGTCTAATGGGAAAAAATGACTATTTTAAAAGCTAGAATTTTAGTTTAAAAGGTTTTAAAAATAATGAGGGAATATATCTATTACTTGATAAAACAACATATAGAATTTTATTACATTAAATATCAAAACCTGCCAAATGCCATAGAGGTCAAGGGTTTCATAATTCCAATGGACATCACATGTTTGAATATTCTAATTGCTCCAGTTTTTATAATGCCCATATGCTCCAAGATAGTGAAAAACCTGAAATAATTGCAAAAAAGATTACCATATTTGAGAGTCGATACTCCAATATAATACTCAAACCAATTAAACTACACGAGTTTTTTGTAAATGAAAGGAAATCATAGATATATATATTCAAACAAATAAATACATTGATCTAAAAAAAATTGAATACCAGCGAATCTAGCACGAGCGCCTGCGGAGCTCGTCGGGTGCTGGATCCGTCACTACTGACGCAGCCGAGATATGGTAGTACTAGTACCACTCACTTTGACTTCTTTTTCCAATCTGAACGTGTGTATCAACGTAAATGTCTGTAATCTGATTCACATAATATATCTATTAATAATTTTTTAGTCAAATTAAATTATTATGATTCCACATGTTGGTCTAGAATTGAGCTTAGGAAGAAATCAATTAGTTTGAAAACCAAATGTGAATGCTGTCAAAGGATTGAAATATGCTACATGAAGAAATCAATTAGCTTGAAAGCAACTTATAATTTAAAAAAGATAAATAATTAATATGCAGAGAGATTTGTCAAATTTATATGTTCGATGTTCATACTGTCGACATTCCTATTTAATTATCTGCATCTACATCTCTCACCCTATAAAATTGCATTTCAGAGATATACAAAAGCTATCAAACTAGTGCAATGGATACAGGCAGACCAGCAAGGTTTATGGTCGCGATGCTGGTGATCTTTCTGATACTCGAGTGCCTCCCGGTGGGTTATGCCTCGGGCTCCTCCACCTCGCGGGGTAAATATTTCTGATCGTTTACGTATTTATTTTGTCACTCCATTCAATCTATTGATAAAAATTTAGTTAATCATCTCGACACGTGCAGCATTTGGGTAAGTACTTTCACTTTGATTGATCCAGATGTACACGTTCAGTTAGTTATTCTTGATTTTGAGGGTAAGAACAATTTTAGTCACCAGTTTGATCTCTCAGTTAGTCAGTTAAAATTCATTAATTTTTTCAACAAGAGGTAGAAGAGAGCATCAACATTAAAATCTTCATGTCGTATTTTCAGTTAGAAAAACTAAGGAAATTTAATTGAATTATTAAAATAAAACCAATGACAAACTTTAACTACAACTACATTAAACTTGGTTCCTTAATTGAATTATTAAAATACTTAATTGAGTTATTAAAATAAAACCAATGTCAAACTTTAACGACGACTACATTAAGGGCAATGTCTCACTAGAGTTACAACCCCAAGCTAGATGATAAGCCTAATGAAAGGTGGAATTAAAACATTAAACTTGGCTACAATTGAGTGACTAACATGTTTTTGTGCTTAGGAACAGGCCGGGAGCGACATTCATCATGGTGTTTGGGAGGCAAATCAAGAAAACTAGCTATTGATTGCCAGGGGCGTTTCATTTTTCTGGAGAGAGGCACGGCCTCGGAGAGCTTGAGAGTGGTTACCAGCCCCCCGCCGGCACCGAGGCATAACCTACCTCCGCCTCCCTAGTGTTGAAGTCTCCAAGTTTAGTGTTTTTCTTCTTTGCAAATCTTGTCTCAAATGATGATAAAATGCCCCAAAAAGAATTTTGTTGATGTGGTGTGTTAAAAAAAAAAAAAACACTAAATTTCATAAAAATACAGAGATGAAAACACAAAATTCAACTGCAAACTACCTTTTTAGGCCACTTTTTTAGATGTCTTTATGTAATTTAAAAGCCTATCAAGAGCCCTGCCGCTATCAATGGCCTCTCTGGCTCTTTCCATGGCCATGGAGATATCTTCTGCACCATCACATCCTAGCAAATGATCGACCATTCCAGCATTTAAAACGATACGATCATATGTGGGACCCTTCTCACCACGCAGAGCTGCTAATCCCAACTCTATATTCCTCGTTACCTGCGATTTTATGGAAAATAAAAGTGTGCTTTATTTGGTACTCGACTAGTCATGTAAAGATAGAACTTCCCGCATGTAAAAAATTGATTAATCTCACATGCTAGAAACCTTTGGTGCATGTTTAGTGCACAATACCAAACATGACTATACAGTAGCATAAACAAGATTTTAACTTACTTTTCTCCCTTTATATCGTTTTACTATCCAATCCTCCCTACCAAACATGTCACTAAAGTTCCATATGGCATTAAGAGAAATAATGATCATGTGCTCATAGTACATTATTCAAAATAATGGGAATTATTTTGTTTAAGGGTATTGCTTCTTCCATGCTATTTTGAAGGATGAAAGACGACTAAGCAACTGGTATAAAAACCAAAACATGAATCTCAAGAACAAGAGAATTAAGAGACTTACAGATCTATCGGTTCTTGGAGTGTCAGTTGGTTCAAAGCCATAATCCTTGGCATTCACTTCAATATTGAAAGTCTCACGCGATACTCCTACAACATTACTTATCCAAATTTTAGGACGAAGCGGCAAAGCAAGAACAAACTCGGCTAATTATTTTAGCGTTTAATAATTGCTTTCTATGTAAAGAGAACATCGCTGGAGCAGCTTAACTGTAGAAATCACAACGCATGGAAAATACGATCAGTAATAAATACACACCGTCTATTGCATAAGCAGGCGTCACCTTCGGTGAACGGAAACCTGAACAGTAATTAACAGGCAATCCCTTTGATGCATTTGGTGAACGCAATCTTGTAGTCATTGAAAGAGCCCCTTCCTCACCCTAATACATACTAGTTCAATCAATCATCTTGTAAAAGAGTATAAAGAACCAAGTTTCTTAGTCAGTCATTGTTACTGTTAAAAATGTATGTTTGGCTATGCTTAAAAAATGTTAAAGTCTTAAGTAACTTTTTGTTTCCAAACATGTTTGGATAACTTACTTTTAAGTAAAAAATTAGTAGCTTTTTTGTGAAAGAAACATTTTTTTCGTTGACCAATGAAATAGTTGTTCATTTTAAAACTAACTTATTTGCTTATAAGTAAACTTCTTATGTTTAGGCAAACGTTCTCTTAGTGCCTTAAGATATTTAGCCCCCGTTTGACATCCATTAAATCAAAAATTCTTTTTTCTCAAACTCATTTTCAACCATACATTCACACAATAAAATATTTTACACATAAATCCAATTTTTTTCATACTTTATAACCACACATTTTCCAAAAAATCACTATTCCAAAACTCGTTAAAATGGATGTCAAACAAGGTCTTAATTACCTTCACCACTAAACCAGCATGAACACCTCTTCTTCTCATTAACATCAAAAGTGACTCCTCATAACCTCCGTGATAAAATCCAGCAACAATTGCTTCCTTACCGTGTGCCTGAAATAGAAAATAGCAATCGGTTATGAAATCTTAAACTAATCTTAATTACAAACTGAGACAAGGAACACTAAACATTACATAATTTTAAATTTCAATTGCAAGGTCACACAAGCACACATCATTTTTCAATTCTTTTTCTCTTTTTTCTGGGCATAGGTTTGCAAGTGACATACGTGAACACAAAAATATACATAAGTTAATTCATCAAGAAAATACTAAGATGGCCTACCCGCACAAATTGCTGAACTTTCTCTGTTGTTGCCAATGGTGGACGTTTCTTTATATGTTCCCTCAATCCAACCAGGGAATATCTGCAAAACGGTATATGATGCAAATATGGCAAATAAGAACAGGCAGTACCAAAAACATATGCTCGCCATAAAGATAAATATACTAAGTTTTTTGTTAAATAGGCTTGAGGAGAAATAAACCATAGCTGTAGTAGAAAAACAAGGAGAAGAATAAATATTCATACAAAAAAATTGTAATAAGTACGTCATACTGAAGTCCACAAATCCGCTTCATTAACACCACCCACTAGTTAAATCCATTCGTCATTAGATCAGTGACAACATCAAAGTGTAAGAGCTCTTTCACGCTATCATATAACCATTTTACACGATTGTCTTAGAATAAAATTCTTCCCCTTGTAAAAGAACTTGTTAATGCAACTCTAGAAGGTGAAAGGTATTTTATACACCAAAGTGAAAATGGGGGAGGGGGAGGGAGAGCTCCAGATATGATTGGTAAGGTTTGCTTACAGAGATGGACGAGCTTCACGTTGACTTATATATGCAAAACCAATCTTATCATCCTGGATAAGGAATTTCAATGAATGAGAGTCAGCAACAAAATGACCACCTTACCCATGTGGATACACAGGCACATGCACTCAAAAACGTGGACATGTAGAGAGAGAAATCGACTGACCTCAAGAAGCTTTTTAGCTTGCAGTGGGGATAAGTGCGTATTTGCCCCCATGAACTTCAACATTTGTTCTTCCGTAATTCCACCCTACATTCAATATTCAGTTTGCAAATCAATAGATTTGGACTTTCAAAGTTTCACTTCTTTTCCAGTTCTATAGACCAGAATCATCATAAAACAAGTAATAACAACAGCTACATATAGACTAAGTTCTTAAAACCAGAATGATTAGCTCTGTCAGAAACGTATTCCAATGAACATTACATTATGTTCCATCAACATCAATTCTTCAATTAATCAAAAGCTGGAGAACACATCCCAATGGCAAGGTAAACTGATTATAACCTTAGGCGGCATCCAATCCACGCCATGAAGCAAGCAAGATTCACCATAACAGGATCTAACTGCAGCTACAAAAAGCGTGCTCCTGAAGTAGCGGGTATTGCCATCATAAGGTTCACCATAGTGGGTCAAGGATTTCACATCAGCAACTGGTACAGGGCCTGGTAGAGCAAATAGACGTAAACTTAAATAGATCAACGCATATTAGCCGTCAGTGTTTGCTAACAAAGCTACTATTAAGCTATATACTGAAGAAGATATTACCAAGTTCGTCATCAAATGCAAGGCAGTAAGCTTTTAGCTCTCTATCTGTTTCTCTATTCATGCGCTGACCTATCAAAAATGCTGAAAGTAGTGATGCACTCACATTTGCTGACAAAGTATCTTCTAACCGCAGTGGAAGTACGTCTTTCAGAACACCCTGAACCTCCTCATACCCAAGATGACCCCCAGCCAGGACTTCCCTGAGGGCACCCACCAATCTCATATCAGAAGTGTCGTTTCCAACAAATTGAGGGCCTATAGAACTACCTATTTCCATAATGGACCCTTCAGGGTCAGCTAGAAAGATAATATCTGGAGGTAGTACTCGAACTAATTGTGGCCAATAATAATTTATTGCTTTCCTTTCGCCTTCACTCCATTGTGTTGGCTCTGGAAAGGTATTCACACGAATTGTCATCGCAGCAAAAAATGCCCCAAGCTGCGCCTCAGATACTTTCTCTTCATCTTTGAGCTCTCCCTTCGCTGGTTTTGAACAAACAATTATACGTTTAAAAGCCAACATACAATATCATTGCTTAGAATTTCAATTCAAAGATTTATAAACTATATTTGCAGACTTAGATGTGTTGTACTTTTTTCCTTTTTCTACCATGTTATATCGGCATTTTCAAAATTCGTAGATGCTGGACGTGCATCAAGTTGATATTTTGGTAATCTAAATCAACATTTTACCATGAATCAATCAGAAAGTACTAACTTTAAGAACTCTATAAATCCATAATAGCAAGAGCACTTATATAAAAATGTGTTAACACAAATGAGCAATTCTATCAGTCTATAGCTCAAATGAACAGTCGATTCCAAGCTCAAATTAACAGTGGGATTCCAAGATTGATATTCTCAAACTGGCTACTATCTCACATTGCTTATCAAGGTTGACCTTTTAATGGAAGATTCAATAATGTGAAATAAATAAAACTTTGACAATATAAAATCAAAATCAAATTGAAATGAAAGAAACTTACCTGATCTCAAAATGGTATCAAGAACCTTAAAAGCCTGTTCTTCATTGAGAGGCTTAGTCTGAGTAGGCCCGGTGCAGACCTTAGTTTGGGCATCCAAAACAGTCTGGTTGGGCCGCCGGAACTTCGGGTACCGGTACGAGGTTGAAATCGCCGGGTTCCAAATATGGGTTTCGGATAGCCCGTGTTCCTCAGCCACTGTGGCCGAATACAAAACAGCTTTAATCCTTAAACCACTATTTTTTGTGGTTGGAACGAAATTGAGGTTTTGAAGGGGAATTTGGGGTTTGATTTTAAGGACTGGGATTGGAGATAAAATTGAGTCTGAATTGAACAGAGCTTTCATTTTTTTTCCCTTGTTTTTGGGTATTGTTTGGAGAAGTGGATTTGGATTGGGAAAGTTGCTAAACGGAAATGGTGGAGGCTAGTACGAGGCTGACGTTTGATTTTCGTTTAGTCCTAGAAAAATAAAAAAAGTGAACAAGATGGAATATGCCGCAATTGTATTGTCTGGTTGTGAACGGACAAGTTGTCTGTAATGAACTTTTCTTTCTTGTTCTGATCTCTTGCCTCTTTCACCGGTGATAGATCCTTGCTTATAGTTCTTTTTATCTTAGATAACCATTCTTCTTGTGGATCATTCGATATCTAACGAATTTTTTTATCGAATCTTTTAACTACTACTCACAATGGGAATAATGATCATATTGTCGAAATTTTTAAATACACACGGGTCCGACGCATTATGTGAAAGGGAATAATCCATGGAATAACCATTTTCTTGTTACATCGACAATGAAAAGTTTCGATCTTGATAGCTAGAGGGCAGGAGATCAATTTCCATCCAAATTCTTACTTTGAAGTATTTGATTACTATTTTTTTCGTGAAAAATATTTTTTTAACTTTTAAAAATATGTCTAATTTTCCTTCTTTTTAAGGAAAATATTTTCTTCATGGAGTAAGTTTTTGTTTTCCTCGTAACAAAGAAAATGTTTTCTTTTCTAAAATATATTTTCGACACCAATCAGACGTACTCTAAATTTGATTCTTTGTAGAGTCTAATCGTACTGAAAGATCCGAACTTATATTTGCACATGAAAAGATGAGGTTGGTGAATATAGATGTGGATCCATTTCAATGCATGTAGTGAGAGAAATGAGCTTCTAGTTTCTAGTTACGTTTTACACTTCAGAGTTGTGTTATTGTTTATATGAAAATTGTCGAAGAAGTAATTAACTGGCATAAGTCGTATTGAATCTCAAACATGCATCAGAAATAGGTTGATTGAACTTTAAAACTTACATAATTGTGCAGATTATAATCTGCGAGGATAGTATAGTAAACAATTAATTAAGTAAACGTGAGTTCATGTATCAATCCCACAAAGAACTAATATTTAGTAAGTTTTTAACTAACACCAACTTTAATCGAATAATGCAATTACGATGAGATTGAATATATTTACTAATTCAAGCTAACTAATCTATTTAATTAACTAATAGGGAAGTATTTATAAAACTCAACTGACGAACACTAGGCTAGGCCTCTGTTTGGTATAGATTAAAATAATTTCAAATTAAAGTTAACAATTTATTTTAATCATGTATTTCATGAAATCGATAACTTTTCAATCACATATTTGATCAACTTACTAAAAATTTGATTTTAATCTACGCCAAACAGGGGTTAGGACTTCAAATCCCCCTACATTCTTTCATCTTAATATCACATTATTTGACAATACTTATTTGGATTTGAAGATCAATGCTCCTATTTTATTTTATAATATCTTTTGAGTAAAATTTAAATATATCCTCATATATGACCCAAAATATTTCTATCTCGAATACCAACATATGAAGATACAATAAACCGCAAAAATATTCAATAAGATCATCCAAAGCCACATGTTAAATTCGTAATTCTTCTCCCAAATATCTATAGGAAAAATGCTTTCCTGCCAGAAAAAAAAATGACAGAGGCTCTGACCCACCCGCACATTGAACCAACCCCACATGAATAAAAAATTGCAAAAAAAGTGGACCCCATCCCCTATTATGAGAGTCGGTCAAAGCTTTGGTTGGCTCCTTTTCTGTTGTTGCAGCACGGTTCTATCTATAGAAGCCAAACATTAATTCAATTAATGGCCAAATAATTGAAAGCGTTAAGATCATAATAATCGTTCAAATCAAAACAAACATTTAGTGGCAAAATATAAAATATAATATCAAAATATAGGGTTTATCACTATCCTGGCATCTATAATAATTCAAGTATTATATGATTACAAAAACACAAACTAAATTGATACAACATCCTGAAATTAGAGGTTGTAAAGAAAGATGAAAAACGATCTTGAATCTTGAATCCCTTCGATTATTCTTGATCAATCTCCTTGAATCTCCTTTTTTTTCTTCAAGCTCCATGCAATGATGTATGAAATTGTGTAAGGAATTGGTGTCTAGTATTTAAAAGCTCCTCTAAAGCTTGTAAGAAATATGTATGTTCTTTTCCTAGGATTCCTTTGGCTTCTCCCTTCTAATGATAGATGTCCATTAAATCCCAAAAGCCTCTCTTTCAATGGTAGATGAAGATTTTATTTATAGCTCTAGATTAGTTAAAAACTCGTGTCCTAATTGCTTTCCAAGTAGAGAATCTAGTTATACAGCAGGTGAAGTATGAAAAGCATCCTTCATACATATGTATCTTCTAAAAACATCACAGACATTGCACTTGTTGAAATTCCCCTTTCAAGACAACTAATGTACGTCAATCATAATGTAATGTAGAAAAGTATATTTATTAGTACGTATAATATGTAATTTTTGAAAATCAATTATCACAAAATAAGTAACTTAAAGCATAGTCAATGTTTTATTCAGAGTATGAATAATAAATTTTCCCCCTTACAAATTGTTCTCTTTGAACGAAAATGTTTACAAATTAATGAACAAAAGAGAACAAAAAATGAATAAAAGAGGAGAAAAAGGAAAAAAGATAACCCTATCCAAAAATGCCACGTGCGTTCTGATTGAAAGCCCGACATTGTTTTCTGATCTCTCCCTGATCCCCCGTAAGAACTTCAATTTCTCCTACTTTAATGATGGTTTTAATGAATTTACCAAACCATCCCTCCTGATCATTAGCCAATGTTTTCATTATACTGCTAGTACGAGGATCAAGGGCCATATTTTGATCTGATTCAATCAAGGCTCTCTTCTTCAATAATTGCTTGTAGAAATGTGAATCCATTTTGTATTGTGTGATTGTATCGAATGGAAATAGTTGGTTCGGGTTATTCCCGCACGAAAACCCGACTGTCCCGTGATAAGCGGGCTCGATGTCTTTTCGTTTCTTTTGATCCCAAAATCTGTCGATAATATTGGCACAATGTGCAATGCCAATGGAATGTGCACCTGCTAGAACCACCATTTCTTCCATTGTTAGGCCTTTTCTGTTGAAAAGTGCTGTCAGTTGCTGAGTAGTTTGTTCGGGGAGCGGGACGTTGTTCACGACGTTTTTGGCAAGAGAAGTTAGGCTGTCACGGCGACCTGCAGCCACGTTGTAGGTCGGGAGGCCTGAGAATACTAGAGATTCGCGGTTTGCAAATGCTAGTATGTCAGCACAAGAAACGACGCCAGGGCATTCGAACTCGAGCTTCCTTTTAATTTCGTCGATTGCTTCGAACCCTCGTATGAACATGCCGTTGGCACCCGACGCCTTCTCGACTTCCTCACCACTTGGTGTTTTGTCCAAAAGGATTGAAGCATCACAACCCTGCATGCATGTTTTATAGCATTAGATAGACTGCACAATATAATAGGCAATATTTAAACTTCTTTTTCCTCTAGTATTGTCAATGTTGTTTAGTCTGCTCTAACAAACACGTCATAAAAGTAAAAAGGATTTGATGAGAAAAATGATTTTTTTGTACTTTTTTCTCACACAACGGATACTGTTTGTGAGACGTATAATAAGTCAGAACCGTATAGACACGAAAGACTTGCCGTGACAATACAATCATGGAAAAATAGGCGAACAAGAGCAGCAGCCAGGCCCGAATCGTTCTTGAAAGCCTTGTTCATAATGTCATTCACGATCAGCTCAGCTTGGGGGCAAGTCTGCTGATAGAATCCTTCCTTCAATCCACCCTTCGTGGTTCCCTCTACACGAGTTTCTGCCTGCTTTGTCCCAGATTCATACTTAGGCTTCGTTTGTTCTCCATCTTCATTTGATGGAAGAGAAGCCTCTCCGTTTTCATCCTTGCCCCCAAATATTGAAGTTCCAAAGAAGGTTTTTACACCATCATTTTGAAAAGGAGAATCGAGATTTTTGCCATGGAAGAATGTGGGGAATGCCGAGGCAAGCAGAGGAAGGATTGCTAATAAAGAGAATATTATTGAAAGATGGATCCTTCCTCTGCTTGCCATGTTTTGCAATAATTTTTTTGAGTGAGACATGCATTTTTGCGGAGGGAGGGGCCTCTATGCAAAAAGGTTGAATGGAAGGCTGGAAGGGATTGTAGCCTACTTTTTGGGCTAAACAAAATGGATGACACTAGAAAATTTTTAAATTTTGTCTATGGCTGAAAAATGGAATTTAAGCAATTAAATTGGCTTTTGAATTTTGTGGCTGTTGTCTGTTGCACTTGGTGTTTTTTCATGCATGTGTGGCAAACATACTTTTATCCATACATTTTATAGGATCTACAACGATAACTCACTCATTATTCACACATTTTATAAAATACACAACTTATAATCACTTACAAGTACTCGAAAAATGATCTTAGGTTATTCTCTCAAGAAAAACAAAAAGGCATTCTTTAGACACATAAAACATATATGATAAAAGTGAAGCTCCTTGCCGGACTAAGAACAAAACCACAAAAAGTAAATGACAAAAACATTGAATAGACAGGTTATTAAGAATCACAGCAAATTGACATGTTTCATAGTTTTCTTAGCCGGCCAATTAAAAGTAGTTATTTAGAGCAAGATTTTTTGAGAGTATATTTTGTGAAAAGTGATTGTTTTGGAGAATGTGTAGTCAAAAAGTAGGGAAAATTATGAATTCACGTGTAAAATTATTTTATTGGGAGAATGTGTTACTGAAAATGTGTTCGTAAAAAATTAATCTAATAAAATATCACCAAACAGAGACTTGATCAATTTTTCATATCCTTTTTAATAAGTTGTATTACTATTTCTTGATAAAGACTCCTGCAATCAACCATTGTCCACATTATATCAAATAGTGTGAAGCCTAAATAACAAAGTTATAAAGACGACTAATTGAGCTCCGTTCTCAATAACTTTGGTTGGTTACAGGAATCCTTTTTCTCAACTAAATCTACTTAGAATTATTACAAGAAGCAATGTCAGCTTTGATTTACGTCTCCCTCTTGTAACATTTTCTACTAAGATCACATTACTCTTATAAACAAAATTCTCTTTAGGCGTACGTAAAACATATCTTAACCACCAAAGTCGTGATTTTCTTAATATATCTTCATTCTTCTACCGGCACCACCTCCACCAGTTGTCGTGTATTTAGCCTACACATGACAAAGTTGTACCTCAAAAACTCCTGTGCAGACCTATAACACTGCTGTTTATTCCAAGTTGAAACAAGAAATTGATACCTTACTAAAGTCAAAATACTAAAGCTTGTGACAAATCATAGCAAATGTTTTGTTCTAAAACCATTGAACTCATCTCCACCCATTATTGGATACTGAATACAGTAGAAGTTGCCTGGATTTTCTTTGGTATGAACTTGGTTTTTTGTACATAAATATGTTTCCTTAACGAGGTTTGTTGTGAACATCGCCAAAGTTTATTAAAGAAAAAATTCCCCAAGTGTTATTATTGGAGAGAGGACTTTGTTAAATACTAAACTATTTCATTAATTAACTGATCCTAAATATATTTCATGGGAATAAACTAACAAACATGTAATGACAAATGGAAGAAGTTATAGGAAATTTTTATCACTCCTTATTGTGTTTTATTTTCATTACAAGGCCGTTTACAAGCCAAGGCTTTATGGATTCTCTGAATCTCATTCTTCTTTTCTGTCTCCTTCGTCTTTCAATCCTGTCTACAAGAGGTTCGGCTTCTAGTTCAACTCAAATCAATCCTTTTAATTGCTCTTCCAAAACCCCGTCATCATGTAATGCTCTTCTCTACCAGCACAACGGATTTGAGAAAGACGAGATTGCATCCTTGTATTCTGCTACTATATCAGAAATCAAGCAAATATCTTATGCTGGCAGACAAGACTACCTCATACCAGTCAACTGTTCTTGCAAGAATGTTGGTGGCACTGTTGGATACTTCTACAATACAATATACAGAATAAAACCAAATGATTCTTTCTATGACATTTCAAATCAGATATTCAGTGGGCAAGTCTGGCAGGTTGCGGCCGAAGATACAAACTTGACTGCTGGAGTAGACCTAAAAATACATCTTTTATGTGGTTGTATAGAAAATGACTCTCAAGTTGTGGTAACATATACGGTTCAGGCACATGATACTGTATCGAGAATTGCAACTCTACTTTCTGCTCAAAGTGACGAGATAGAGAAGTTGAACCCGTATTTGGCTCCGAATCCATCGTATATAGATATTGGATGGCTGTTATACGTGCCAATGGAAAAGAATGGAATTCCTCCACCAAAGAAAGGTGACAAAGATCTCACTGAAAATCAAAATTTTCAAATTCAAGTAATTGCTGCAGCAATTTCTGTTGCAAAATCTCTATGATCCCTTCTTTCAACAGTCTAATCTTGAATTTTCTGTTCTTTTTTTATTGGGATTTTCTAAAGTTTCTTCCTATCTGTGATGTAGCTAGTCTGTTCAATTTTACACTTCCCATGGTTGATGCTGTAACTGCCTCATTCTAATAAATAGGTGGTGTGTGCTCCAAATGATTAGTTAACCATTTCATTTTAAAATTTTAAACTTTTAGATGAGGCGGCTAAGCAAAATCTTGATAGTTTTTCAACAATGGGATAATGATAGGTTATAATAATTTTCCTTCGTTCCACAAAATTTGCTGCAAAATATATTTTGATGAAATAGCCTCAAATATACCAGTAGCACAGAACACAAGAATACTCATAAATGATTATATTTTTTGAACTTTTACGAATTGAGATCTCGTCTTTTCATCTACTCTAATTCAGTAATATATCCAATTCGCAGCGTCAAACAAGGGACAGGGATGGACAATAATAATCGGCGTATTAGCTACAGTGACCCTGCTTACCATGTTCACTTTGGCCATAATACTTATCAGGAGAAAAAGATGTCAACAATACATCGAAGAAGATCCAAAAGCTATATCAAAGACCTTAAGCACTAACAAGACTCATTCTTATCAGAAACAGTACACTAACAAAGAAAAGATGGAAGGTCAGATGATATAAAGCAATTCTTAGTATTACGAATTACTCTTAGTCACTCAACCAGTATTTATAATTGATCGACACAGTTAAATTGAGGGAAGGGATACACATTAACTTAGTTGGAGCTTATTTTACAATACAGATATCCGAGTTTTTGAATCAGAAAGAGCAACAGTGTACAGTGTTGAGGAGATTGCAGAGGCTACAAGTAATTTTGACGAAACACGAAAAATCGGACAGGGGGGGTATGGAAGTGTATATTTTGGGGTACTAAGAGAGAAGGTATTCTATTTGTTCTTTTGATATTCAGTTATAATGCTCTGAGTTAAATTTATCCAAATATTTGAAAATTAAATTTGTAGCCATCACTGTGACATCAGGATGTTGCCATCAAGAAGATGAGATCCAATAAGTCCAAGGAGTTTATGGCTGAACTCAAAGTGTTGTGCAAGATACATCACATCAACGTGGTAAGAAAATTATTTCCAAGAACTGAACTTTTTCCCCTAAATTGTGAAAGAGGCTCAATAATTTATTGGGTCGGGCCCACAATATAGGTGGAGCTGTTGGGTTACGCCAGTGGAGACGATGACCTCTACCTGGTTTATGAGTATATCCCGAATGGTTCTCTCAGTGATCATCTCCATGATCCAGTAGTGAAAGGTATTCAAATGGATGGTGTTTATTCTTTTTTTTCTTTTCTTTTTTATAATAGAAGAATGGAATTTAAGAAATTAAAGGTTTGCAAGAAGATTGTAGCAATGAGCAATGCATAAAAGTTAGAACTGAAGTTTGTAAGTACAAAGGAGAGTGAACCATCCACTCGCTAGAGCAATCAATATCATAATTTATCGTGTTCCTAAAATAAGATTTTTATAATCTGAAACTATAAATCAGGAGAAAGTTCTTACAAAAGGTCATAAAATAGGTCACCAGCCTCTGTCTTGGAATGCAAGAACACAGATTGCTCTTGATGCTGCAAGGGGTATTGAATATATCCATGACCACACAAAATCTCAATACGTGCATCGTGATATAAAAACGAGTAACATCCTGCTTAACGAAGGCCTCAGAGCAAAGGTACCTGCATGAAATTCAATCAACAACCCGGTAATGTTAATTTTGAATCCTTGATCTTGAATATCAATTTCCACAGGTTGCAGATTTTGGTTTGGCAAAGCTTGTTGATAGAACCGATGGAGATGAGTTGATAGCAACAAGATTGGTGGGAACTCCGGGATATCTTCCTCCTGAGTAAGCATTTATCTATATGAAATTAGTTCAGAATGAAACTCTCTTAGTTGTTTACCAAATCAAACTATATGTTATTTCATTCTTCTTATTCCGCAGATCTTTGAAAGAGCTGCAGGTTACTACTAAAGCTGATGTTTTCGCATTTGGAGTAGTTCTTGCAGAGCTTATAACCGGCCAACGAGCACTCATTCACATCAACCAGGAACCAACTAAGATGAAATCACTCATCACAGTTGTAAGTAAACCAAATTAGCATTTAATAAATGAATTTTGTCAGACTAAATTAAATAATATGTTCTTTGGCCTGAAATACGACATGAACTTATCAACTGATAATCATAAATGAAGAAATGTTTCATATGCTTATTAAGATATATAGAAGGTATATCAATTTCATTTGCATTTGAGATTCACTTCACCATTTGGTCAGGTAAACAAAATATTCGATGAAGAAGATCCGGTATCTGCTCTTGAATCCATTATCGATAGAAATCTCAAAGGCAGCTATCCTCCACGAGATGTATACAGGGTTAGAATGATTTTCTGCAGCCCTCAATCTTTAAAATACCCATAGTGCAAGTCCAGAAAAATAGGACAGTACAATGAAAAGAGTTATAACGTCTATTTTCTTATTTGTTACTGTCAAGTACTGTCTAATTTACATCATCAAATAAATCCTCAGTTCTGTGTTTCGTTCTTGCAGATGGCAGATATCGCACACTGGTGCTTAAGTGAAGAGGCAATCGACAGGCCAGAAATACGCGAGGTAGTAGTGGTACTAACACGAATAAGATTGTCATCAACAGAGTGGGAAGCATCACTCGGAGGAAGCAGCCAAGTTTTCAGCGGATTATTTGATCCGCGGTGAAAAGTAGATTCAGATTTCGTTGCATTATCTCAAGCACTTTATTTACTAGAATGCAACCAAGTTATGCTGAATCATGATTTTCTAATGTGATATACAAATATGTTTCTTTTTTCTTTTTTGTTTAGGTGTGTAAGGTTGAGAATTATTGTAGAATGGAATATTATAATTTGCTTTGTAAATTTGAACTGGGAGAAAATATTTGAACTTGTATGCATTTATGCCTTCAACTATCAACTGAAATTTGCTTCACGTAGTAGTTAAGATTGGACTTTTGACATTCGAGAATGAAAACAAAAATTTTGTTTATTATATTGAGTCGAGCTCGAAATAAGCGGCACTCTCAGTCTCTCACCCACTCAACAAACTGGGAGTAACCTTCATTCACGTTAAAAGTTTAGACGAGAAGCTCAAAAACAAAGGATGCTGTAGCCAATAGGCATTGTGGGTGGGTGATTGTGAGGACCGCAACACCGTCTCACCACTCCTAATTCTAGACAATACATGCTCATTTTGGGTTCGAGATCTCTACTACATGGTCGCCACTAGGCCAACACCTATGCCATCTTTGATAGATGATCGTCAATAGCAACACATCAAGCCAACGACAAAAAGAAAAAAAAAAATTGATCACCAGTCATAATCAAGTTAAATTTTTTAAGTTGTCAATGACGAATAACTTATTTTAACTTGCTCATTTGACAAATCTATTTATTTTAAATTCTATTATAACTAGACCCAAGGGGAAATTTTACTTGAAGTCATTCAATTTACAGGTTTATTCATGTTAGTCACCCAACTTCGATTTGTTTCAATTTGATCATGGGCTTACATTTTTGTTTTAGCTTGACAATTTTGTTTGTAAGCATAACCAAAACTAATGGTGTGTGACATGTGACTAACATAATACGTTTCTTGACTCAAATGATGAGTAATAATTTTTTTTTTCTTTTTAGAACCACCACAAGGGTACAACATTCATATGGCAAGAAAAAGATATACGAACTTAGAGGGAAGACATTTGACCTAACATACAGTCAATGCAGATGGAATACGAAAATTTTAATAGAAGGAATACTATTTATTTAAGTCAAACAAATGTTAGATCGTGACCGAAAAAATGGAAACTTTAGAAGTGTAAGTTTGGTGATCAAAATGAACTAACTTAAAGTTAAGTGACTAACATGTATTACACTTAAAACTTTGGTGACCTCCACTGAGGCAAACGTGCACTTAGCTAAAGAAAGCACAAAGAACAGTCTGATTTTCATCATCCTACATAAGAAACGACAATTTCACAGTTTGTATAATCTTAGTACTGTAACAAAGATGATTCAGAGAGCTGCTTTATCGGAATTTCGCCCCTTAATTACTCTCTAAATTGCCTAAAATCACTGTCACCAGATCTCATCAATCTGTTGCCCCGATCTCCGATCTGTTTAATCGAGAAATTGAAATTGCAGAAATAATATAAAGGCGAAGGACGAAAATGACGGGAGCAGCGTCGGCGCTGTTCCTACTTGACATAAAGGGTAGGGTTCTGGTGTGGCGAGACTACCGTGGGGATGTCTCAGCTGTTCAAGCCGAACGCTTCTTCACCAAGCTGATTGAAAAAGAGGTTCGTTTCATGTGTGCTTATGATTTTTTTTCTGTGATTGAATTTTTTCCGTTGGGATGAGATTTTAGAAGATTAAGTGAGTTGAACGGTTTTGTTGGAATTGTGAACTTCTAAATGCTTTTTTTTTTTTTTGTGAAGCAAATGGGATCAGTATACAAAATTTTAGCTTGATCTGTAATTTCTGGAGTTCTTACCAGATTAATGTCATTAAAATAAAGTTAATTGCTGGAAATTGAGATATTCTGCCCGAAATGGAGTTTCTGTTTGATTTGGCTGAACGGAAGTACAAACAAAATTGATATGACCCTCTTTTCTTTATGGAATGAAGTGAAATTTTAGAAAATTGAGTTGAACACTTTGATTGAAACTGAATGAAATGGGAACTTACATTCTATGGTTGTTTTTATTATATTTGTAGTCAGGCAAATGGGATTTGTATGCAAAATTTTAGCTTGATCCGGCGTTTTCCTATTTTTTGCTGGATTAATGTCAATTCACTGACTTTTTTTTTTTTGATAAGTTAATTGCCGGAAATAGAGAAATTCTACCAAAAAGAGTTGGACTGTATACTTTAGCTTAATAGAAGCCCAAACTATAATTGATAATACCCTCTTCTGTTGGTTATAGATTTAGTACCTAGGAGATAATTATTGGTAATGTTAGCTTGATCAGAAACTAAATCTTTCACCATTTCTTCTCCATTAGTATTTTGCGTCACAGAATAAAATCAATCAATGAAGCATAAAATTTGTGTGTACATGGCATCAGGAATTATTTACATGTGATTGAACTGTCAATTAGGCTGTTATGACAATAGAGTTCAAATGATTTGTATTCTATAATATATTTTGCCATATAAATAACAATCTAATCTTTGTTTCCAGTAAATTTGGAGTCCGTACACAAATAATTTTCTAGCCATTTTGTTGATCCATTGCGCAGCTGTTAACTATTTAAGGTCTCGTTAACTATTTAAGGTCTCGTTATTGTTGGCATACTTCTCCTTGTTCACATTTCTATGTAGTTGCTTCCAAAACCGAATAAAAGAGAGTTGTGGTAGGTTGATAGTTAGTTTAAGTTTTTATTTTTTTTTACATCTCTTACGAGATGAATCCTTATCTACAATTATTTTGGTTATATATTTTCTCCAAACAAAATCTTTCCTTAGAACTGTTGTACCACCGAGATCTAGAGAAGGAAAGAATATGGTGAATAACAAAGCTCTTGACTTTTAGTTCAAATTAGGCAGTATCAAAGCTGGATGATTTCTGTATCTTCTGAGCTTAGTCTTACTGAATATCTCTAAAAATATGACACACTGTTGTTACATTTTCTATCGATTTCTACTTTTGACACGTCTTTGAGTTGAAGCGGAGGAACTAATATGTTGTCATCCCATAATGGTATAGGGTGATCCAGAGACTCAAGATCCTGTTGTTCATGACAATGGTGTCACTTATATGTTTATACAGCATAACAATGTGTATCTCATGACTGCATCAAGGCAGAATTGCAATGCTGCTAGCCTTCTTTTATTTCTACACCGCTTAGTGGATGTAAGCACTATTGATAATTAGAGATTTTGCTCTTTATATATTTGATTTACAATCTAATGAATTTATTGATGCGACTCCCATTTTAATTTTGCTTCTTATAATTTTCTGACAGGTCTTTAAACATTATTTTGAAGAGTTAGAAGAGGAATCACTAAGAGATAATTTTGTTGTAGTGGTACATGAATTTGTTTGCATTTATTTCTAATTTTTAAATGTTAGTTAGCATTAAGTATGCTACATCTGATGTTTATACTGCTGACAGTATGAGTTACTTGATGAAATGATGGACTTTGGCTACCCACAATATACTGAAGCAAAGATTCTCAGCGAGTTCATCAAGACCGATGCTTACAGAATGGAAGTTTCACAGAGGCCTCCAATGGCTGTAACAAATGCAGTGTCCTGGCGTAGTGAAGGGATACGTTACAAGAAAAATGAAGTAAGACTTCATTTGTGGACCTTATATTGTTTTTTTGAACTGGGTTTATAAGTCTTCATGATTTATTTAGGTGTTTCTTGACGTTGTGGAAAGTGTCAATATACTAGTCAACAGCAATGGACAAATAATTAGGTCGGATGTTGTTGGGGCATTAAAGATGCGGACGTACTTGAGGTTTGTCCTGCCACCCCGTATTTCTTCTTGTAATGTTTTATTTTGAACCAGAAATGCAGTTGGAACTTGGAAGCTTTTCTTTGTTTTTCAATTGCCTCATTTTTGTAGGTAATTTGCCTATGCTGGATAAAAATATTCTTCTATCATTCTTTTTCTCTAATTTAAAACCTTGATACTTATTTATGATGTGTTTTGCTTGTAATTTACCATCACATGATTGCAACGTGGCATGATTATTAATCCTACCATGAGGTTGCAATCCTGAAAAAATGAACCATTGCCATTATGTTTCACAAATATATCTCTAATATGAAGATACAGAATGGTAATTTCGCTTGGTAATTAATTGGTTTCTTTTTAGCATTTGCTCCTCAATTAAGATCATACAAGCTTATGTTTGCAGCATGCTTGATTATCTTAAATACTTGTGTCTTGCAAGTTGTTTGAATAAGTGCATACTGTCTCGTTTATGGTGTTGGTTCACGGTAGACTAGATTTGTGTCGCAATCAATATAAAAACAGAAAGTTTATCATAATGTGAATTGTAAATTCTTTTGGATAGCTAATATTGAATTTCTTAGTGTACTGAGTTAGCACACCAGAAACCTGAGAATACTTACTGTGACAAAGGAAGTTTACACTATAAAAGTTCCATTTTTCAATTTTTCACCACATGCATCAAATTTTCACCATATATATCTTTGTCACAGTTAATATCTCGTTGATATCAAACAATCGTAATAGAAGCAAGTTGTAAATCTGACTTGATAATGTTCTATCTTTTGCAGTGGTATGCCTGAGTGTAAGCTTGGGCTGAATGACAGAGTATTGCTGGAGGCACAAGGTCGAACCACTAAGGGAAAAGCCATTGATTTGGATGACATCAAGTTTCATCAGTATGTAATGTAACTTTCAGTTTTAAAGACACTGTGATTGTACTCGAGTCACCTTGTAGTATTTGATTCAAATGTTAATTTCCAGTGTAAAGAATATCTGTACATGTTTGTCTTTGTTTATATTTCTTTGTTTGCTCATGTCTCAAAAAAACCTCTCTCTCTCTCTCTAGATGAATTGGTATACAACGTCTTTGCTAATGTCTCATTTTTCCTTTTCCTGGTTTAGGTGTGTGCGTTTAGCCCGATTCGAGACTGACAGGACAATATCATTCATACCTCCTGATGGATCTTTCGATCTCATGACCTATAGGCTCAGCACC